GCGGGGGCGGCAGCCAGCCCCAAGCCCTGGCTTGGCACAGGAAGAGCTGCGCCTGTCGAGAGGAGACGCTAGGGGACAGGGTTCTCCCACCCAGCCGGGGCTGCTCGGCTGAGGAGTTCATCCCCAGTGCATGGCCAGAGCGGCTCTCCTGAGGTACCACAGCCTGCACGTCCAGTAAATCACCCGCCGCAGGCTCAGCGTGCCTGGCCCGGTGAACGCTGGGGACTGCCGGCCAAGCCTGGCTGTGGCCCGCAGGCCCCAGGCTGGGCTTAAACGAGGCCGGGGTGGGCAGTAATTGTCGATGGGAGGGCACACCAAGATTTTGGCAAGTGGTCAAGGGCCACGTTTTTCTATGGAAGGCAAGCGGAGTCCAGGAGAGAGGGTTTTTCGACAGATACTGGCCACCAGGGCACCGGTGCTTTTTCCTCTTGCCTCTTCTTCCGCCAGAACGCCCTCCTCTCCGCCCACACGCCGCGAGGCCGGGGTGGGCAGTAATTGTCGATGGGAGGGCACACCAAGATTTTGGCAAGTGGTCAAGGGCCACGTTTTTCTATGGAAGGCAAGCGGAGTCCAGGAGAGAGGGTTTTTCGACAGATACTGGCCACCAGGGCACCGGTGCTTTTTCCTCTTGCCTCTTCTTCCGCCAGAACGCCCTCCTCTCCGCCCACACGCCGTTTTCCGAAGGAGCTCTTCCGCAAAAAGGCTTCTTCGGGCTCGTCTAGCCTGCATGCCTCTCTCGAAAGGGGAATGCAGATGAAGCAGATCGAACATTCAAATGAAGCGCGGATTTACACATCTTGTGCTTCATTTGCAAAATTCCGTCCGAGCACTTTTTCAAAAAAGGGTTTTTCGGGAAAAAAAACCAACCCTGCAGTCCAGATGAGGTTCTTTAAAATAAAAAACCCCTTTTTCGAAAGAACCCATGCACCTCATTTTTTGCAGTCTAGACATAGCCTTTCTCATAGAAGGAGGATTACCAACGCCAGAAAACCCCCTCTGGTCTTTCGATTTACTTTCGGAAGAATGCGATTGCAGTGTGGACGTAACTCGGGTTTCGTCCGAAAAACGGCTGTTTTCCTGACAAAACTCTGTAGTGTAGACGTGCCCTGAGAGGGAGTTTGGCTGAAGGAGGGGGTTTTGAGGTGCAGGGCTTTGGGGTGCAGGGTCTGGGGGAGGGTCTGGGTGCAGAAGAGGAGTCTGGCCTGGGGAAGGATTCTGGGAGGGAGCTATGACCTGCGGGGAGGGGTGTACAGAGGGTTTGGGTGATGACCTGGGGCAGGAGGAGGTGGTGGGCTGAGTCAGAAAGTTGGGGTGCAGGAGGGGCTGGGGAGGCAGCTCCTGGCCAGCAGCCCTGCAGGACGCTGGGGCAGGCTCCCTGTCTTGTTTTGAGGTGCAGGGCTTTGGGGTGCAGGGTCTGGGGGAGGGTCTGGGTGCAGAAGAGGAGTCTGGCCTGGGGAAGGATTCTGGGAGGGAGCTATGACCTGCGGGGAGGGGCGTACAGAGGGTTTGGGTGCTGACCTGGGGCAGGAGGAGGTGGTGGTCTGAGGCATGCAGGAGAGGATTCTGGCCTGGGGGAGGAGTATAGATGGGGGTACAGGCTCTGGGGGGGGGGTGGGACCTGGGGCAGGAAGGTGCAGAGGGATTGGGGTGGTGA